AAAAAGTTTTTGCACTTAAATTTTATAATGCAGAATCAATTGAAAGGTTGTTAAAGACTAAATATCATTTTTTTTGATTTAAATATGATTATTTTTAGTAAAGCTGACAATTAAAGTAACATTTCTAGCTGCTATTATCTTCCCAAGGAGTAACTAGGTTTGCTCTATGTAACAATGGGCATCAGGGACATCATTTGCCCCCCCCCCCCTAATTTGCAGGTTTTATTTATATTGCTATGTACTGTGGCGCCTCCAGTAATAAACAACTTAACAAGCCAACCAAGTTTTAGTTTTGCCCCCTCCCCCCCACCCTAAAAAAAAATTAAAATTATGCCCCTGATAGGCATAGTCTATAGTAACTGATTGAACATTTTCATCTTGCAGCAATGATATACCAGAAAGTCATCATAACCCTAATCTAACCATTCAGCACTTAAAATAGAAGCATTGTCGGTGTGAGCAATAATTGCCATGAGCTCTCTCTGTCTCCTGGCAGCTACTCGCATTGGTCGAATCCTTTTTTTTTTTTTGAGGAGCATGTGTTAATTTCTTATGCTCAAGAGGGCATTGTCGGTTCTGTTGAACTTGCTTTTTCAACATGACTTGTGATGCAAAATAGATGTTATAGATTTTGTAAATCCGTTCAAGCAGCGATGTTGTTATTGTTACTCACTTATACATTCACCTAATTCTCAAAATATCGTATTCCTACTCTATCATTATCATTTATCTTGACTGCACATGACACTTGAACCTTATCTTTGTTCTATACCTGCAAAAGAATCTACAGGTGAAGAGCGGCCAACTTTTGTATACTCTTGCACTAATAAAGTGTGCTAACATTCTGACCAGCCATCTGCAGTGCACAGAAACATATTAAATAAATCTTATATTGTTAAAAGCCTAAAAATGATTTGACTATTTACACTCATTTACACATAATTTAAAAAAAAAAATAATGTAATAACCAGTCAATTTTTAAGATTAAAATTTTAATAGATAAAACATGATTGTTGACGTCAACCATTCTAACCCCCCCCCCCTCCCCTTGTCAACAAGTGTCAAACATTTCCAAACCACACCCCTATTTTGTTGACGTACTAAACGGACGCCCCCAAATGATACTTGCACTGAAGTTTGTGCTGGAGCAGATTCGGGCGTACCAGTTTTTAAATTTTGACTATTCTACGGAACCGGTTGTTAAAATTTCAAAATATTATACAAATTATAATTATTACATTGAATTGACAATGACGTTTTTCTATAAACAAGTACCCAACCGGTTATTGCCTGATTGGCAGAAACCCATTGTTTGCAGCGCTCATTTTATATTCGTTAAAAACATACATATTATGAAAAGCGTTTGACTCGTGCAATACATTCTTTTTTTTGCTGTTTTTTTTTTCCCCCCGTGGGGCATAGGCCTAATCCCCACTCTCGGTGCTGGAGCCTCTGCGTCCGCACTAGACTATAAGTGACTATAAAGTATAAGCAGACTGAAGTAAAGCTGCACTTACTGAAGTCTACACTGACTACACACTAGTCACACAGTAGTAATAAGTAGGCCTACAGTGAATTAGAGATGCAAACACTTGAATTTGAATATTAATTTCCAAAATCTTTTCAATTAATATTTATTTAATTAATTTATTACAAAAAAAAGAAGAGAAAAAATTTTAAAAAAAAAAAAAAAAAATAATTATTTAAAAAAAAAAAAAAAAAAAAAAAAAGATTTTATATTTTACGACAATGAGTTTTGTTTACATCGGTTACGTTTTTGGGGAGGTATCATGTGACAGTAGAAAAAAGTTAGTTGCATTTTGCAGTTCACTAAAATCATAGTTCTTTACAATGGTAAGTCTCCAAATACTTAATACTTATGTAACAAAAATATTTCGGCTAAATCTGAGGACGGCTGCCACGGCGTCTTTTGGGTGTTTATTATAGTTGCAGTGATTTTAGGGTTTAGGTTAGGTTGAGGGATCGATTTATTAGGCAGGGTTCAGGCTCAGGGCTCAGGTTAGACGGTTAGTGTTAGGCATCCGCATAGGGATCATTTAGTTTTAGGGTTCAGGTTAGGCATAGGAATAGATTTAGGGTTCAGGTTAGGCATTATAGGGATCGATTTAGGGATACATTCGTGAAATTCGATAAAATAGTGGCAGTCGTCCCCGTAAATTACCAATATTTCTGTATAACGGAGTGTATAGTCCAAACAAAGAAACACACTAACGTCCAAGCCCAAGTATAATAAAAGTAACTTACTTATTGTCACTGTAGTAAATCAGTGTGATAGTGTTGAGTGAGTCAGTGACACTAATTTACTTTTACATTTTAATTTTTGTTTTATAATATTAGTAGTTAAGACTTTTTTTTAGCATAGTGATAGTAAAAACCAAGTCAAATCCAACTACTAACTTAGTAACTAATTTAGTAAAGTGTGACGATAGTTGCTTAGAATTCTTGGAATTTAAATAAGTAAGCAGGGCTCGTGAAAAGTAAGAGAATGACAAATCTTTTAAAAAAATCGGACATTTACTGGCCAGGGATTTGCAACCTTTTACTGGACTGGTATATTGGGGCTGTATAGAGTGCCAAAAAAGTAAGATTTATAATGATTATAAAGGTAATCTTTCAGGTAAGGTGCGGATATTATTTCTGATTGAATTTTGTATTATCGCATGCAATCTTACATGTAATATTCTTTATAAAATTTAGTCCAGACAGTATTAGTTCGCACTAACACTACTATATTGCACAACAACAAATCTTCTTTTTATTGATTTTCACAGCCCCCATCGGTATATAGCTGATAGTGCTAGCGTTAATGATCTCTCCATTTTCTTGTTTTTTAAAAAATTCACCCTACATGCCATATTGCAATTTTTCAAATGAAAGCATATTCACCAAAAACAAAACAAGAAAAAAATTAGATTAATATTAAATTATATCAAAATTATTTTTTGATGCTTAACTTTTCAAACTAAAACTAAAAGCACGTTCACAAGATAAATAAATAAATTGATATAAATATTATAAAATTGGCGTGTATATTGGCTAGCTTTAGGAAAAATTAAAATTATGAGTTTATTAAACTTCAGTAGGTACCGGTTTTTGAATATGGATAATCAAGTGTATGTGTACTAAGTTTGATCTTGTTCCATTCACCCATGCCCATGCAGGAGCCTTTGTTTGGAATGAATTATATTTATTCACCCCGTATAACCGTATAAGAAAAAAAAAAATTTTGGGCCCCTATAAAATAACGGAACATCTAATAAAGTTCAACCCCCCCCCCCTCCTTATTTCATTCTTTTTTGTGAACATGCCTACAATTTGAAAATTTCATTTAGCATACCAACTTAAAAGTGGTGAGCAAACATCTGGCAACAGGGTGAAAAATATAAAACAAATGGAGCTATGGAAGGTTGGGGGATGTTGAAAGATGCCTTAGAAATGAAAATAAGCGCTGCATAATTCAGTATTAGTTAACTATCACTGACTGGATTTAATTTAATGAAGAACACGTAAGATTACATGTGATAATACCAAACCGGATCAGAAATAATGTACACACCTGAACTGCAAGATTACCGATTATAAATGTCTAATTCATTTAGCATCCAATTAATTAAAAGTCTATGATTTAAGACTTATTTTTTAGTCATATATTTTAATATTATTATTACTTTGGTCTTCCGCATTCCCATGAAAATTGCTTTGCAAGCCAATGCCAACCTGGCACTTGGGTCATGGTCATAGGTTTCCAAACCCTCTTCTTAAGTTCCAGTAGGGGGGATTGATTTGGATTATGAAACATGGGTCACGTCGTACGTTTGGAAAGTTGAGTGATAAAAATATCATGCATAAGGGGAAGATGGCTGTTCCAGCTAACCGCCCTAACCTAAGGGTGTTTTTCACTTTTTAATAATTTTAAATAATAAATTATTTATTTTACTTGTGACATTTGCAACTATATTTTCATTAAATATTAAAATTTATTGTAAATTGAGGGTTGGCTGACTAAGTTAGCCAGGCACATTTAACAAGTCATTCACATTTCTACCATAGCCAGGTAGGAAATGGAAACCTGGGTTGTCTTAATAATAAATCTTTCCTAGAAATCATACCTCAACATTGGTGGGGTTGTTGCATGCAGAAATATTGTGCAACAATTTGTTTTTTTTTAATGATTTATATATTTTGTGTCACAAGAAGAGAGGGATAGCATGTGGTTGTAATAGCTGTAAGAACTGTTATGTAAACATACTTTCACTCTGTTACAAGTATCGCTGCTTTTAGTTGAACCGTGATAAAATTCTTGTGCAATGTGTAGTAGAGGAGTGATCCTGCATTGAATGAGGTGATGTGCTACCGTCTCATTTGGATGATTTGTAGAAGGGGCAAGTTGTTGGCTTCTTAATGGTTGACGTGTGAGTGCAGGTGGTCTTGTCTGGTGTGGAGGGGAAATGTTACAACATGTTCCTGTCTTTGGCTACAAAATGTGGGATAATCGGGCAAGGCATGTGTGTAAAAACAAAGGTTCCTGTTAAGCCCATAACTTATCCATCTAATCTCTCTTCTCTTCCCTCGGCTCTCTTAGTCTGTTTAGCAGTGTTATGTGATGCAAGTATGTTTGGCTGTACTTTTTTGGCTGTGCATTGAATGCTTTCTGCTTCATTAGTGTTTCTGTTATTAAACTGACTTTATATGAAAAGGGTTAAAGAGTAATACAAAAAAGAAAGATGATCTCTGCACAGTTGGCAAGTTGCTTGGTGTTTACGTAACATGTTTGGGAAGTTATAAAATCTAGTTTGGATTTAGAGTATTGAATGTTCAAGGGCATTTTCAAAGGGCATGTTGTATAACTGAAAGAAAAGAGTAGTCACATAAGATAAATGACCAACCTCTATTTACGTGAGTAGAAACAACACAATGTTGAATATTTATTTAAAGAAAAAAAAAACAAAAAAAAATTGTTATGACTCATCAAAAAAATTAAACATACACATTTTATCTCCCCCATGCAGACATTAAGGTAAACACTAACATCAAGTTTTGAACAAAGCTCAGTCCATGAATTCTTCTTGCACATGAAAGACATAGTGTGCATACATGGTATAGTCATACAGATATTTCATTGAATGTCTTTACCTTAAAAATAATGAGACTGTTTATGCTAAGCTGTTCTACTGAAGTAAATGTGCAACTAGATATAACCTACCTATGGCCCCCAGAAAAACTGCATCGCGCACTCATTCCAACAAGGACAGTTCTTCTTACAGCCCCCTCAGGTGTTCTGGGGGGTGGGGGGGTGGGGGCGTATTTAAAAGAGTTCATAGCTGCAGATACTGAAATATCACATTAGGAAATGGCATCAGCGGGCTGTCGAGCTAAAGCTCTTTTTGTCCTCCCCAAAACACCCCCACTAAGCCCGAGTATCGGGCCACGAAGTGGCAGGTTGGTGATGTCCCTTTGCCAGGACAGCCCCCACCTGAGGCCGCCCCAACCCAAGGACACCCGGTAGGTCCAAAACTATGTGTACACACAGTGCACATGATGGACTTTCCTAGGAGTCAGGATGGTAAATTTATGTCATAATATCTTACCCCACACATCTCGGGGAAGCGACGGACGCCCTTTAAGGGGGTTTCTACAGTGGGTTTCCACCCCACAACTAGTTTGGGAAGTAGTTTGGACAAAACAGTTGCTAAGGAGCAGCTTTCTAAGGCTGTGTAGCTAGAATAATTGGTTAGAGACTTCCCCCTTAGTCTCTCGCCTCACATCCAATAGCGGCAACTTATAATCATGGTCCCTATCCTGTCTCTGCCTTTACTTCCAACTGTAAAACATTGCAGTTGGAGGCCCAGTAGGTGCTGTTAAATTTGTCAACCAGAGCCCTGGGATGAGCTGCAGATACTAAAAGTCTTCGCTCTGTAAAGAGAAATAAGAATTTTATTTGGAGGTACTATTGGGAAAGAAATTTGTTGGTGCAACATTTGATGTTAGGAAGTAATACAAAAATCTATATATTGTAATTTACTATGCTAAAGATATAGAATTTCTTTCAAATTTACATAATCTTGTACGTTCTCGTCTCGTTTATATTTCACACAGTTAAAAATAATGACATAATTTTAAAAATTTTTGAGTCAATTAGCATCCTCTCTGGCACAACTAAAATAGGTTATATTAAGCGTATTGATAAGAATCCATCTTTTTTTTAAACATAGCAACACGGCCCCTTCCCCCCCCCCCCCCCCTTTTTTTTCCCCAAGAAAAAAACAGCAATAGAGATTGAAGTTTAGTCAATGCCTGCCATACTTATACAAAGTTGGTTTAATTTATATGCAAATTTGGAAGTAAATTGTGAATTAATTCAGTCGTTCATAGCTTTGTCTTACCTGGCAACTATGCTTCCTTTTGGCATACAGCAGATGCTGTGTACATAATAAACCAAATCAAGGTTTTATTTGGTGGGAGGGGCCTTGTTTGGGGGAAGGGGGGTAAGTTTTATTGTACAAGTTGGGTTTTTGTATAATCAAAATGCATGAAAGTCATTAAAGGAAGGTAACCTGCAATACATCGAGGAGAGCCTTTAGGGCAAAACATTTACCTCACTTCACCGATTCATTCTAGATGTGCTCCGTCACACACGGTTATCTGAACTTGTTTTAAATACGTGCTGTTAGATCAATCACTTTTAAGTGTTGTGTAAATTCAAAGTAGAACATTTTCATTTGTAATAATTCCTATTGTTTGATGAGTTTGTAGTTAGGTGATTGTAAATAAGACAGGTTAAACATAATGTCTTCTTTGTAAATAAGAGAGGTTAAACATAGTGTCTTCTTTGATTCCTGTCAACTGGGAATTGGAGACTCCATGAATTTCCATATCAATTTTTGTGGCGCTTTAAGATTTTTATGACAGATGTCAAAAGTTCTTTTAGTTCCGCCAACCTAACAATGGAATTGACTAACTTTATTTTACCCACTGAATCTGTAAACCAAGAAATTTCTGAAGATTCACTGTTTCTTTTTCTTAAGGTAAGAAAGTTTGAATTTGTTGAATGGATTTTCATGGGGGGCTACAACTTGAGCTTTGTAATGGCTGTTCTGGGGTGGAATGAGATGATTAACATAGTTGTATTGGAGCTGCACTGAGGTGAAAGTAGGACAGGGAAACACAACGTCTTAATAATGGACTCGACAGCCCACTGGTTGAGAGATTTTATCCTCTCCAACTCTTTTGAACTCTTTCTGATCTAATCGATCTTTATTAAATTTTGTTAGCATTCAAGGTAATGTGTAAATGTTCTGTGTTTACACATGGACTGCATGTTCTGTATTTAAGCATTGAGTAAATATTCTGTGTGACACCTGTGTTCTACCAGCCCCACTTGATGACAGCATACTGATGTGACCTAGAATGTTGTTGACATACATAACAAGGAACTAAGATAAGATAATTTGACCACCTGTGTCATTGTATGTTATACAAATATGAGCCTTATGTCACCCTCAAATTCCAGTGCTGGAGTAACATCTGACATGAAACTGTTAAAAAAACTAAACAGACATGTGCTGTGACTTTTCAACTTTAAACATGAAATGTGTGTTCACCACGTGTCACCATGTTTTGTTATGCTGAAATTCCAGTGCTGGAGTAACATCTGACATGAAACTGTAAAAAAAACAAAACAGACATGTGCTGTGACTTTTCAACTTAAAAAATGAAATTTGTGTTCACCGTATGTCACCATGTTATGTCATGCTGAAATTGCAGTGCTGGGGGTAATGGCTGACTGGAAACTAAATGGAAGCGAATGCTGTGTGTTGTGATGTATCAACTGCTAACATCGATGTTGTGATTTCTTAAACACAAACATGACACACTGTTGAATCCATGGACATGATTATTTTTGGATAGTTGCTACTACTGTGTCTATATTAACATTAATCTGTAGCCATCTTTTGTTGGTTTCACAATGAATGTGTAATTAGCTTGCTCAGTGTGATCAAGCGCTCAGAATTGATACATTGAATGCTGGGCAGTGGAAAAATGGCTATTGCAGGGACAGTTGCTGAATAACTATTGCTAGGCTTGCTAAACGGCCATTGCTAGGCAGTTGCTAAATGGCTAATGCTGAACAGTTGCTATATGGCTAATGCTGAAGAGTTGCTAAATGGCTACTTCTGGACAGTTTCAAAATGGGTACTGTTAGGCAATTGCCGAATGGCTACTGATGAACAGTTGCAAAATGCCTTCTGCGAGACAATTAATACCAGGCTAATACCTGACAGTTGGGAAACGGCCAGTGCCCAAAAAGCACTGGCCAGTCTCTGTTCTGTCCTGAAGATAGAGGTCAGCCCTGTCTTGTCTGATCCAAGGGTTTCTCATCCCTATTACAGGCTGGTGGTGGAGAAAAGAAAGAGCACCTGTACAAGATCCTGGTGATAGGAGAACTAGGGACTGGCAAAACAAGCATCATCAAACGATATGTGCATCAGTTCTTTTCTCAGCACTACAGGGCCACGGTGAGTTGTCCTCTTGGTTAACTCCCTTTAATTTATCTGTCACCACTACAGGGCCATGGTGAGTTGTCCTTCTCTTGATTAACCCCCTTTAATTTATCCATCAATACTGCAGGGCAGCGGTGAGGTTCCCTTCACTTGAATAACTCCCTATAATTTATCAACACTACATAGCCAGCATGAGTTGTCCATCTCTTGATTAACTCCCTTTAAGATTACTGTTAATTACAAAACACCACAGAGCCACATTCAGTTTTGATTGGTGAATTTCATCTTAAATAAGTCACTTAAGTCATCAGAAATTTAATTTTTAAAAACTTTAATTAACATTAACATACATTTTTTCATGTAAAACATTTAAACAAATTTTGAGGTTGATGATCACAAGGGTAAAAATTAACATTTAAATTTTGCTGATCATTAGTTACTTCATGTCATTTGAGCATGTAAATTACCCCAAGCAAATTGATGACTTATTTCATGGCAGATTGGTGTAGACTTTTCTAACTTGACTTATTTCATGACAGATTGGTGTTGACTTTGCACTGAAAGTTCTAAACTGGGATGCAGATACATTGATACGGTTACAGTTATGGGATATTGCAGGTAATTAAACCATTAGTTTGGTAACAGTTTTTGGATATTGTAGGTAATTAAACCATTAGTTTGATTATAGTTATGGGATATTGCAGGTAATTAAACCATTAGTTTGGTAATAGTTTTTGGATATTGTAGGTAATTAAACCATTAGTTTGATTACAGTTAGGGGATATTGCAGGTAATTAAACCATTAGTAGTTTGATTACAGTTATGGAATATTGCAGGTAACTAAACCATTAGTTTTATTGCAGTTATGGACTATTCCTGCTAAATAACCCCAATAGGAAAATTGAATAGGAAAATAGTTACAGTTTGGGGGGTGGGGTGGGGGGGAGTGGTAGCAGGACCCCTGAGATGTGAACGCTCTCTTGCACCCAGCCTTAAAAGTATGTCACTTTCTAAATCCAATAGGGCAAGAGAGGTTTGGGAACATGACGCGAGTGTATTACAAAGAAGCCGTCGGGGCGTTTGTCGTCTTTGATGTGACGAGGGCATCAACATTTGATGCTGTTGTAAAATGGAAGGGTGATCTGGACAACAAGGTCCAGCTGACGGACGGCTCACCAGTTCCTTGTGTTTTATTGGCTAATAAGGTGAGTTGCATTGGTTAATTAGGTGAGTTGTATTGGCTGATAAGGTGAGCTGTACTGGTTAATTAGGTGATCTGTATTGGCTAATAAAATGAATTATATTAGTTAATTAGGTGAGTTGTATTGGCTTGAATTTTGTTATGGTCAATACATAATCAAAGAATTATTTAAATAAATAATCATACATTTATGTCCATTAATTATGTTAGAATTAAGACAATAACTAATCATTCCTGCCAATAAATATTACCATAGAAATATGGGGGCCATCCATAAATGATGTCGCACTATTTCGGGCAATTTTTATATCCCAAATCATCACAAAATTGTCACAAAGATTAGACACACTTGATCACTAATTACCCCTGTCATTCATAGACAACCCCTATATCAGTCAATAATGACTGAATTCTGTCCATAAAATATTCATAGAGCTGTGTCATAATGATGAACATCATAATCCCAACCAACAAAGGAATAGTTGCATAGATCAACTACCAAAGAAACAGCCGGACACTGGAATCCTTCAAAACCAATTTAAAAAACACATCTATTTCGCAAACACCTGCGGGGGTGATGTTGTCTACCATCTTTTCCAGTTAGCTATTATCTCCTGGATGTATATTGGCTTGTGTTGTTTATAGTTGAAAGGGATGAAAGACTTTAAATGTGTATGCTCGTTTGTAGCTTTTGTAGTGTTACGTTTTGTGTTTTAATGTGGTAAAATATAGATTGCTTCATTTCTCTTTTAATATGGTTGATTTTGTACCGTGCTTCGAGCGTTTGGGGATGAAGCGTGATTTTTAAAAAATAAACTTCATTAGCATTATTATTATTATATATTCCAATACCCAATGTACATGTCAAGCGTCCCAATGTACATGTCCTACTGCTCCGTCTACATGTCACACAGCCCAATGTACATGTCCTACTGCTCTGTCTACATGTCACACAGCCCAATGTACATGTCCTACTGCTCCGTCTACATGTCACACAGCCCAATGTACATGTCCTACTGCTCCGTCTACATGTCACACAGCCCAATGTACATGTCCTACTGCTCCATCTACATGTCACACAGCACAATGTACATGTCCTACTGCTCCATCTACATGTCACACAGCCCAATGTACATGTCCTACTGCTCCGCCTACATGTCACACAGCCCAATGTACATGTCCTACTGCTCCGCCTACATGTCACACAGCCCAATGTACATGTCCTACTGCTCCGTCTACATGTCACACAGCCCAATGTACATGTCCTACTGCTCCGTCTACATGTCACACAGCCCAATGTACATGTCCTACTGCTCCGTCTACATGTCACACAGCCCAATGTACATGTCCTACTGCTCCGTCTACATGTCACACAGCCCAATGTACATGTCCTACTGCTCCGTCTACATGTCACACAGCCCAATGTACATGTCCTACTGCTCCGTCTACATGTCACACAGCCCAATGTACATGTCCTACTGCTCCGTCTACATGTCACACAGCCCAATGTACATGTCCTACTGCTCCGTCTACATGTCACACAGCCCAATGTACATGTCCTACTGCTCCATCTACATGTCACACAGCCCAATGTACATGTCCTACTGCTCCATCTACATGTCACACAGCCCAATGTACATGTCCTACTGCTCCGCCTACATGTCACACAGCCCAATGTACATGTCACACAGCCCAATGTACATGTCCTACTGCTCCGTCTACATGTCCCACAGCCCCATCTAAAACAACACTTTTATTATGCTTTACCACTATAAAATCAGTCTTAAAACAACATCTCTCTAGAATCAGACTTAAAACAACACCTCTATAAAATCAGTCTTAAAACAACACCTCTATATAGTTAGTCTTAAAATAACACCTTTATAAAATCAGTCTTAAAACAACACCTCTATATAGTTAGTCTTAAAATAACACCTTTATAAAATCAGTCTTAAAACAACACCTCTATATAGTTAGTCTTAAAATAACACCTTTATAAAATCAGTCTTAAAACAACACCTCTATATAGTTAGTCTTAAAATAACACCTTTATAAAATCAGTCTTAAAAAAAAACCTCCATATAATTAGTCTTACAACAAAACCATGATAAAAACTATCAAAAATGAAAGTAATAATATATTTCTCCTGTCTTTTGCAACACACAATACCACAAGCCGCTCTAGACATGAACTATGGCTTAGTAACATAGTAAACTACATGTCTTCTGCTCAGGTTGATCTGCCTGCACATACAATGGAAATTTAATGTACTTTTTTTTCCTTTAATGACATTTGTGTTTAATTAGTTTTAACAACAGCCACACTTAAGGTGACTTATCACCCCCCCCTCCCAGAGCCACACTTACGGTGACATCATCACCCTCCCAGAGCCACACATAGGCTGACTTATCACCTCTCCCAGAGCCACAATTATTCTGACTTATCATCCCCCTTCCAGAGCCACACTTAGGGTGACATCATCACCCTCCCAGAGCCACACATAGACTGACTTATCACCTCTCCCAGAGCCACAATTATTCTGACTTATCATCCCCCTTCCAGAGCCACACTAATGGTGGGTGACTTACTATCCCAGCCCCAGAGCCACACTAATGGTGGGTGACTTATCATCCCAGCCCCAGAGCCACACTAACGGTGACTTATCATCCCCCCATCCTCCCAGAGCCACACTTAGGGTGACTTATCACCCCGCCCCCCTCCCAGAGCCACACTTAGGGCTACTCTTAATTAAACCAACTCCCTCTCCCAGGACTGTGTAAGTAATAAATGGTTTGCCAGGTACACTTTAGAAAGGTATTCACTGGCTGTGTGCACAGTTCTAAAACATATTTCACTGCAACATGCTGATTGAAAGCCATAATATCTCATTGTGAAAGTGGTGAGTCATACATATTTCATTGTTACTATGCTAAATGTCAGACATATATCATTGTTACAGTGCAAAATTTGTGACATATCATTGTTACATTTCTAAATGTCACACATGTATCATTGTTACTGCTAAATGTATCCCCTATATCATTGCTACAGTGCTAAATGTAACCCCTGTATCATTGTTACAGTGTGACCAGGCCAAGGAGGGGCTGGTCAACAACGTGACACAGATGGATGAGTTCTGTAAAGAGAAAGGATTTATGGGCTGGTATGAAACATCGGCCAAAGAAAACATAAACATAGATGAGGCTGCCAGGTTTTTAGTCACAAAGGTAACGAAATAAATTGTTTGGATTGATGGGCTTAGTTTAACACTGAGCTGTGAGTGTCTTAGTTTAACACAGGGCTGTCAATGTCTTAGTTCAACACATCTACTGTAAGTAGACTCAAGGGCTGTGAGTGTCTTAGTTCAAAACTGAGTTGTGAATGTCTTAGTTCAACACAGGGATGTGGTTGTCTTAGTTCGGCACATCTACTGTAAGTAGACTCTAGGGCTGTGAGTGTCTTAGTTCGACACATCTACTGTAAGTAGACTCTTGGGCTGTGAGTGTCTTAGTTCAACACATCTACTGTAAGTAGACACTAGGGCTGTGAGTGTCTTAGTTCAACACATCTACTGTAAGTAGACACTAGGGCTGTGAGTGTCTTAGTTCGACACATCTACTGTAAGTAGACTCTTGGGCTGTGAATGTCTTAGTTCAACACATCTACTGTAAGTAAACTCTTGGGCTGTGAGTGTCTTAGTTCAACACATCTACTGTAAGTAGACACTAGGGCTGTGAGTGTCTTAGTTCAACACATCTACTGTAAGTAAACTCTAGGGCTGTGTCTTAGTTCGACACATCTACTGTAAGTAGACACTAGAGCTGTGAGTGTCTTAGTTCAACACATCTACTGTAAGTAAACTCTAGGGCTGTGAGTGTCTTAGTTCAACACATCTACTGTAAGTAGACACTAGGGCTGTGAGTGTCTTAGTTCAACACATCTACTGTAAGTAAACTCTAGGGCTGTGAGTGTCTTAGTTCGACACATCTACTGTAAGTAAACTCTAGGGCTGTGAGTGTCTTAGTTCAACACATCTACTGTAAGTAGACACTAGGGCTGTGAGTGTCTTAGTTCAAAAAATCTACTGTAAGTAGACTCTAGGCCTGGTGGTTCCTTAGTTCAACCCATGGGCTGCAAATAAACTCTAGGGCTGATTGTGTCTTAGAGTTTAATAAACCCTTGGGCTGAAAACCTAAAAGTAGTTCTTCTTATTTTGCCAAGACAAAATCTAGGAGCTGCTCATATGGGGTGAACACTTCAGCATAATTTCTGGTTCAGTATTGTAAGGTTTTGATGGCATCAGTCCCAATGGTGCTGGAGATACTTGGTTGTGATGCTATCATTTGTGGTGCTTATAGAGACTTGTGTAAGAAATGCTGTTTTTTGATGTGATAAGATTGTGATTGTTGTGTAATTGGTGTGATGTGATTAGGGTCCTGCTGTTGAGGCGATATGATTGTGATCCTGTTATTATATGATAACATTGTGGTCATCTTATTGATGTGATATGATTGTGATTGTGGTCCTTACATCAGGCCTGCCTACAGAGTCACTCCCTCCTCCAAAATGATATTTTAAGTAATAAAATGATATTTTAGTTTTTACTATTTTTTAAATGTTTTACTATTTTATTTCTTTCAAACAAACATAAATTGAAATATGTTCCACTCTAGGAGTTATTGCCCCTTTCAAACAATGATGGAAATACGTACCTTTCTAAAAGGAGTTCTGCCCATCAGGCTAGATAATATATATAAGAGAGTGTACATCAAAAGTGGGTTATGCAGGACTGGCTGAGGCTCTTACAGGGTATCAGCTTTATGTTTTCCTTGATTTACTTTAGTGTCATTGGCTTCTCTTAAAATGTTATTACCACAGTGGGACTGAGCTTATTCATGAGGAACAAAATACAATAAAGAAATTTATTTAAGGGGGAACAATTTCCTTGGAATTCTGCAGGCGCTCTCACTTTTCTCACAAAACTTTTATTTGCTTTGGGATGAAATTCATATTACTTACCTTGAAGTTTTGTATTGAGGCTGCAAAAAGTGTAAAAATATGAAAGACTGGTATGGGTAGGCAGGTCTGCCATATTGATGCGCAGTTACTATGGGTAGTGGTTGTAGACACATTATCATTGTCCTGTTATTGATGGGGTAGGCAGGTCTGTCATATTGATGCGCAGTTAATATGGATAATGGTTGTAGACAAATTATCATTGTCCTGTTATAAAGAAACTTTCCTCGTTAGGTGTCAATTTAAATATTTAAATATTCAGGCTTGGAAACTGAACTTTTTAACAAATCGACCACAATATGTCAAAGTAAATAACCAAGTAGCTCTAACCAGAGAAATAAGCACCAGGGCACCACGAGGCTGCGTTCTCTCTCCTGTACTGTATACCATATATACAGATGATATTCAAAGCTCAAGCGACACCGTTCCAATCTTAAAATTTGCTGAAGATACCACCATTGTTGGTTTAATATCTGAAGGAGAAGGCATATACCGTAACTTAGTTACGAGCTTTATCAATTGGTGCGATGAAAATTTTCTCCAGTTGAATGTCTCAAAAACTAAAGAAATGGTTGTTGATTTCAGGAGGGGGAAACACCAGATTACAGATCTCAACATAAAAAATCAAAATGTGGAGAAATTGGAGGCATACAAGTACTTAGGTGTCACCATTAATAATAAGCTAACATGGCATGAGCATGGCCAAATACTGTACAAGAAATTCAACAAAAGACTGTTCTACCTCAAAAAACTACAATTTTGTTGTAAACAAGCAAGTCTTTAACTTATTCTATTGTGCAACTATTGGAAGCCTCCTTAATTTCAATATTACCTGCTGGTGTGGGAATTCAACGTCTGATATTAAACACAGCATAAACCGACTAATCAAGAAAGCTAGGAACATAACACAAACTAAACATCCTTTACTTGAAGAACTATTTGAAGAAGGATGTTTTTGCAAAACTACACACATTTTGATGATACATCCCACCCTCTTCATCACAGATACTTAGGATTGGGCCGTTCGGGACAAATTCTTTCCATCGGGGCGAGGACTGACAGATATAAAAATTCTTTTGTTCCCCAATCTGTACAAATTTACCGGCATGCTTCCTCTGAAGTCACACACCTGAATGAGATCTAATAAGTCCCCGATTTTGCTAAGAGAACTCACTGAATGGCTGTTTGAAATAATTTATTATAAATGTCTTGTGTTCAAATTGTTTTATTTTTTACCTGAAAATGTATAATGCAATCAAAAAACATTTCCATTTATTTGGATCAATAAAAGAATCTTATCTTATATAGGGTAGGCAGGTCTGCCATATTGAGGCGCAGTTACTATGGGTAGTGGTTGTAGACACATTGTCATTGTCCTGTTATTGATAGGGTAGGCAGGTCTGTCATATTAAGGTGTAGTTATTATGGGTAGTGGTTGTAGACACATTATCATTGTCCTGTCATTGATAGGGTAGGCAGGTCTGCCATATTGATGCGCAGTTAATATGGGTAGTGGTTGTAGACACATTATCATTGTCCTGTTTTTGATGTGCTTTGATAATGGCTGCATCCCCAGATATTAGAGAAAGACATGGCCAACAAGCTTGGGGAGGAGAACCGCGACCAGGACAGGTTCAAGATCAACCCGACGGAAGACAGCAAACCCGACAAGAAGTTTACCTGCTGCTGACGACTGGAAATGTTAATGGATTTCAACCATTCTTCCAAACATCGCTCACAAACTCACTCTAATTAGCTAAAGAAGAAAAAAAAATCAAATTTAATGTTTTAAAAAAATAATATCCCGAAATTAAGATTGAATCTTAATCAGATAATTAGCCAGCTGTTACCTACATTAACTACATCATGGCCAAAAAATGTATAAGAATTAATTTTTGCAAAATATTTCTTTTCAGGAATGCAAAAAAAGTTTCGGGGCCAAAATAATTTTTTGACTTAACACACTTTGACTATTAGTCCAGTCATTAATCCAAGTTTTGCTCAATGTCCATCAAAGTCTGTCAGTAGGTTTCAGAATCCTATAATTTTAAATACGTTTACTGTCATAAAATTTTTTGTTTATGGATTTAATCCTTGTATGTTTGAATAGAATCTATTTTTAAAAAAAGTTATAAAACAATATGAGTGCAATGTAAAAAAAAAACAATGATATTGTTGAATGTTATATTTAAGATGCTATAGAAATTTGTCAACTATTGCTAGTAGACACTGTCCTTGTTTTCCCCTGCTTTGTCACTGAGAGTTCTCTCTCTTTTTTTCGTGAGGGCCTTGGGTTATTCAATGTAGAAGGGATTTTTTTTACTGTAGAGAGTTTATCTATTATATAATATTTTACACTGGTACATATTTTTTTAATTACTTTTTTTTACTTTGACGTATAATTGTACAGTGACATATAAATTTGCCATAATTTTTTGCACTCTTGCAAACAATGTCAGAAGCAATAGGTTTTTGCACTAAAACTCATAATAAAGTTAGAGTTTCGGAATGATTATTAAATGTATAGCAAAAATGGTGAACCTAAAATGATAAGAAGAATATACAATATCAAAACTTACGCTGAATAAATAAATAAAAATAGTACAGTAAAAAAAAAATGCTGTTACATCAAGATACATGGTAGACCATAGATAAGACATAAAGCTACCTGATGAAGTACTTACTTATGCTTAAGCCCTTTGTTTCAGCGTTAACATCTAGAAACATTTTGCGTCATAGTAGGTCATTGTGTGATCATTTAGCTCGCCAGTTTGATGTGATGTGATTGTGTGATGAATTGGGCTATGCAGTTTGCCAATGTGTGATGAATTGGCCAAAATTGTTTGATGAATCGGGCAGTGCGGTTTTTCAATGTGTGATGAATTTTGTTTTGCAGTTCATGTATTGATTGGTTGATGTTCGGTTAGGTAAGTTGATAGTTGGTGGTCAAATGTAGGCCCCATAATTTAGACGATCTCTTCATTTAGTTAGAACTCACTCCTCGCTTAGAAATAACTCACTCTTCTCTTACATCATGCCACACATTTCGTACCTCTTTGTTGTTTCTCCAAACATTCCCTGTAAACTGTGAATGATTTGCTGGGCAAGTCTTTAGATTGAAGAGAACAACAAAATAGTAAAATCCAATCAGTTTTTTCTTCTGACTCCTGTGATTGTCCAGTATTTACTATTTTACCATGTCCTAGCATTACTGCTTTTAAAAGTTTAAAATTTTTTTAATAGAAAATAATTAAACAGATGCAAAATTTGATTCTTTGATTGATATTTCTCTCTAACTGACGCAGCTTTTGTTGATGCTTTGAAAAGTGATGCGATCTCTACAAATGAACCTAGTTCAGTAAGAACATTACTAGTTAAGGAATTGACTAAGGGAATTTTTCTCATTGACTGTTACAGGTTACATAATTTTTAATTTTTTTTTACTTTAGAACTAGAATGTCTGGCCCAAGATCTTTCTATCAACTTGGTAAAAAACCTAGGATTTCTTTACCATGATCTTTCTATTAATGTGGTACAAACCTAGTATATTTTCATCATGATCTTTCTATCCACTCTGTTCAGACCTAGGATGTTTGGCCCAATGATCTTTCAGTCAACTATGATCTATCTATGCACTTGGTCCATCCTAGAATGTCTTTACCATGATTTTTCAATTAACCTAATTTTCATCTTGTTGGTACTTCAGTATTTCTATCAAAGGTACTGCTGTAACCTTCGATGTATTCATATCTACTCTATAACCTTATTTTTTAAAAACTACAGGGTGTTTTATCAACATTGAAAGGGTGTTTTTGTTAAAGAAAAACATTTCAAAGGGTGTTTTTTTGTAACATTTAAAAGATGTTTCTGTAACATTTAAGTTTTTTGTTTTTTTTGCTGTAACATTAAAAGGGTCTTTCTGTAACTAATGAAATGCTGTGTATCAACTATACAAAGGTGGGTTCCTAACTGAAATGTGGTTCAGTTACCACTGAAGGCCTGTTCTTTTAACACACCTAGAGGGTTGATCTTGTGAAAGAGGAAGAATGCTTTACCTTCTAGTTATCTGGTGAATATCGCCTAGTCTCTTTTGGACCTATGTCTTTTTTCCCCCACATACAATGATAAAGATGCATATATTGTTTTGTAATTAATTTTTTAAAGTCTTCTTTTTTTTTTTTTTTAAATGCCCCAAAACATCTAATTTAATTTTAAAGAATTTGACAATCAGCCTCCATTTTTTGTGTGCATTCTCTTCAAAATTCTCATTTTGAATCGAATGTTTTCATTGGATCCATTGCCGCGATGTGGAAAAGAAGTTAGGAAATTTGTTTCGTAATGAATGCACGGACACTTTAGTATTATAAAAAAAGTCATCAAAGTTCAAGTTTATGTCTTCATTGCTGAGAGTAATACGTTGTAGGTGTGTGCATCATACTGTAACTGTAAATATCAAGTATTGGTGGTGCTCTTAGTACGTTCTGTCTATGTGGATAACGCTTAACCCTGTCAATGTTAATCAAAATTGAATTATCCCTTAATGACTCGTTGCATGTCAATGTTGATCAAATTGTTAGTCCTGTCAGTGTTTATCAACACTGTTAGTTCTATCTGTGTTTATAACACTTGATCCTGTCAATCTTTATAACCCACTGTTGTTAAGTACTGTTGGTGGTCATCGCACTGCTGGTCATGTCAGACCTGTGAGATGGCAGTGTCTAAGCCGCCAGTTTTTAATTGCCATGTTAGAAATGTAACTGTCTAAAACAATAAAGACATTTTAAAAAATGACTTGATTAATGATAAATGCCTTGATTAATTACAAATGACTTGACTAATAACAAATGACTTGAATAATATGACTATTTCTTGTTTACCACATATCCAGCCTACTTTTCCTACTGACAAGACTGTGTGCTAGAAATACCACATATCCAGCCTACTTTTCCTACTAACAAGACTGTGTGCTAGTGCTTCAACAAATCTCTTTTCTATCATCTGTTGCACATATTGTCAACTGTCAATCGCTGTAAAGACTCGCCCTTAACATAGTTTGTAGTATCCTGCATGAACTTCCTTATTACTGGGGGATAATAAAAATAATCAAAATATTATGTTGTAGCTCCTGTAGCATTCAGTTTAGCATTCATTGTAGCATTCAGTTTAGCATTCATTGTAGCATTCATTGTAGCATTCATTGTAGCATTCAGTTTAGCATTCATTGTAGCATTCAGTTAAGCATTCATTGTAGCATTCAGTTTAACATTCATTGTAGCATTCAGTTTAGCATTCATTGTAGCATTCAGTTTAGCATTCATTGTAGCATTCAGTTTAGCATTCATTGTAGCATTCAGTTTAGCATTCACTGTAGCATTCAGTTTAGCATTCATTGTAGCATTCAGTTTAGCATTCAGTTTAGCATTCATTGTAGCATTCAGTTTAGCATTCATTGTAGCATTCAGTTTAGCATTCATTGTAGCATTCAGTTTAGCATTCATTGTAGCATTCACTGGTTTTATGTTTTGATTTTTAACAAAAATTTGTAGTAATAGAAATGATCTCTTGTTTGGCATATTTTGAGACATTGATTCTTTGTTTGGCTTAGTTTAGGATTTGAACTAGAAATGTATTATTTTTGGTTTGAAATGTGAAGCTTACCAAAGTGTAGGTTTTTAGTTCATTATGATTCATATGTTTAATTGATGATATTATTATTATGGTTATGGCGTATGTATAATGCTGATTCCGTTGATTCATGTTAACCCTGTTTATGTTAATTATGTTGAAATCAGGGTGTCATTGCTGTGTTGAAAGCCTTGTTGTATGTTATCCTCTGTTGATGTGATTATGCTTATGCCTAATGCTATGCTCTTACGTACACGTGTGTTCTGACAAATATGCTATATGGATATGGATATGTTATCCCTAATGTTGATACAGCTTTGGTAAATGTATGTGTATATGGCCATGTTATGTCTTGTGTTGATATGGCCAAGTTTTCTAATGTTGATATGGCCATGTTGTCTATGTTGATACAGCATTGGTAAAAGTAAGTGTATGTGGCTATGTCATGTCCCTTATGTTGCACCATCCTAAAAGCACATTGTTGTGACTTAAATTTCTAACATATTTTATACAGTAGAGCCTGGCTCGTTATTTAATACAACATTTACATGAAAAGTAATAAAACTTGAACACATAAAGTTGTCCAGATGTCTCATTTCAGTCATTCAGTCTTAATGTCATCTCTGTCGTAATGTCGTCTCTGTCCTATTGTTATCTCTGTCTTAATTTCATCTCAGTCTTAATGTCATCTCTGTTGTAATGTCATCTATGTCGTAATGTCATCTCTGCCTTATTGTTATCTCTGTCTTAATGTCTCCCAGTCTTAATGTCACCTCAGTCTTAATTTCATCTGTCTTAATGTCATCCCTGTCTTATTGTCATCTCTGTCTTAATGTCATCTCTGTCTTAATGTCATCCCAGTCTTAATGTCATCTGTTTTAATGTCATCCCTGCCTTAATGTCATCTCTATCTTAATGCCATCTCTATCTTAATCTCATCACAGTCTCAATGTTATCTCTGTCTTAATGTCATCTCTGCCTAAATGCCATCTCTGTCTTAATGTCGTCTTTGTCTTAATGTCATCTCTGTCTTAATGTCATCCCAGTCTTAATGTCATCTATGTCTTAAGGCTATCTGTATCTTAAATCTGTCTTTATCTTTTGTTATCGTCATCCCAAGTCTTTCGTTATCCTAACTCTTTTTCTGTTCCTACTCCACCTTTATCCCTCCTCAATCAATCCTAACTCCAACTCCATACCACTTCTATTCCCATCCCACTTCCATCTCTATCTCTACTCCACCTATATCCCTACTCGATCACTATGCTAACTGCATCTCGATCCCTACTTCTATCTCTATCCCTACTCGAACACTATGCTAACTGCATCTCTATCCCTACTCCACCTATATCCCTACTCGATCACTATGCTAACTGCATCTCTATCCCTACTTCTATCTCTATCCCTACTCGATCACTATGCTAACTGCATCTCTATCCCTACGTCTATCTCTATCTCTACTCGATCACTATGCTAACTGCATCTCTATCCCTACTCCACCTATATCCCTACTCGATCACTATGCTAACTGCATCTCTATCTCTACTCCAACTATATCCCTACTCGATCACAATGCTAACTGCATCTCTATCTCTACTCCACCTATATCCCTACTCGATCACTATGCTAACGGCATCTCTATCCCTACTCCACCTATATCCCTACTCGATCACTATGCTAACTGCATCTCTATCCCTACCCCACCTATATCCGTACTCGATCACTATGCTAACTGCATCTCTATCCCTACTCCACCTATATCCCTACTCGATCACTATGCTAACGGCATCTCTATCCCTACTCCACCTATATCCCTACTCGATCACTATGCTAACGGCATCTCTATCTCTACTCCACCTATATCCCTACTCGATCACTATGCTAACGGCATCTCTATCTCTACTCAATCTCTATTTTAACTCCATCATTATTCCTTCTACACCCATATCCCACTTCCATCTCTATCCCTACTCCATCTCTATCCAAAGTAGATCTTTATCCTAACTCTATTTATATCCTCTATTTATATCCTCTACCTATATCCTAACTATACATCTATTCTAACTCCATCTCTATCCTATTGCCCCCTCTATTCTAAATCCATCCCCGTTCCAAGTACCAGAGATGGCCTCTTTGTTGGTTCAGTTAGAGGTGAAATAAATTCAAATAGGTAAAGAGTGTGTGGTCCCCTGAGACACGATTCTTGACTTTGCCCCCACCCCCCCTCCCCTCCATTCCAAAAACTACAAAACATACAAAATACACATCCAACATAATCCATAAACGAAGTGAACTGAACATGTCCAGTTATGCCACTAGCAAAACTGGGTGCCCCTCCCCCCATTTTTTACCCCCTTCCCTTGAAGGATTACCAACGTATCTTCTGTTGGTGTTACCGTGGTGGAGAAGTAGATGGATGGCGCAGAATTACAGTTGATCCATTTATCACACTCGTGCAATACGTTACTACAAACAATTGTCCTGTTTCAGGCAATTCTTTTTTTCTTCCCTTTGCTAAATCTCTTACGTCAGTGATTCCCAACATCTGCTGTCATAATCTGTATTACAGTTTTTATTTTATGTCCCATTTCAATCTAATATGATAGGAACGACATCTGGCGGACCTGATGCAACTGTAGGACGTGACATCTGGCGGACCTGATGCAACTGTAGGACGTGACATCTGGCGGATCTGATGCAATGGTAGGACGTGACATCTGGCGGACCTGATGCAACTGTAGGACGTGACATCTGGCGGACCTGATGCAACGGTAGGACGTGACATCTGGCGGACCTGATGCAATGGTAGGACGTCATATCTAGCGGACCTGTTGCAGTGGTAGGACGCCACATCTATCGGACCTGTTGCAATGGTAGGACGTCACATCTAGCGGACCTGTTGCAATGGTAGGACGTCATGTCGGACCTGTTGCAATGGTAGGACGTCATATCTATCGGACCTGTTGCAATGGTAGGATGCCACATCTAGCGGACATGTTAGAATGGTAGGACGTCACAGCTAACGGACCTGTTGCAGTGGTAGGACGTCACATCTAGCGGACCTGTTGCAATGGTAGGACGTCATATCTATCGGACCTGTTGCAATGGTAGGAAGTCACATCTAGCGGACCTGTTGCAATGGTAGGACGTCACATCTAGCGGACCTGTTGCAATGGTAGGACGTCACATCTAGCGGACCTGTTGCAATGGTAGGACGTCATGTCGGACCTGTTGCAATGGTAGGACGTCACATCTAGCGGACCTGTTGCAGTGGTAGGACGTCACATCTAGCGGACCTGTTGCGGTGGTAGGACGTCACATCTAGCTGACACGTTGCAATGGTAGTACGCCACATCTAAAGGACCTGTTACAATAGTAAGACGTCATATATGGTAGGAAGTCACATCTAGCGGACCTGTTGCAATGGTAGGACGTCACATCTATCGTGCCTGTTGCGATGGTAGGCCGTCACATCTAGCGTGTCTGTTGGAAAGGTAGGACGTCATGTCGGACCTGTTGCAATGGTAGGACGTCACATCTAGCGGACCTGTTGCAGTGGTAGGACGTCACATCTAGCGGACCTGTTGCAGTGGTAGGACGTCACATCTAGCTGACACGTTGCAATGGTAGGACGCCACATCTAACGGACATGTTACAATAGTAAGACGTCATATCTTACGGATATGTTGTAATGCTAGGACGTCATATCTAGCGGACCTGTTACAATGGTAGGACGTCATGTCGGACCTGTTGCAATGGTAGGACGCCACATCTAGCGGACCTGTTGCAATGGTAGGACGTCATGTCGGACCTGTTGCAATGGTAGGACGTTATATCTATCGGACCTGTTGCAGTGGTAGGACGTCATATCTAGCGGGCCTGTTGCAATGGTAGGACGCGACATCTAGTGGACCGGGTACAGATCAGTAACTCACTTTGTTATTAAATGTTTGCAGAAGCCACTTCTTCAATGTTTGCTAGATGGCACCTTACAAACATTCAATTTCTCGACTGTTTTATTCGTATTTCTATGCATCACTCACAATGAATTAATACAGTTAAATTATCGTCATTTTGTGTTCTTTTATCATTAGACGGGTTCCATAAACGAAAAAAATGTGGGAACCCCTGACGTCCAGAGTCTCTATTTGTAAGTAGGTTACAATCCAATTTACATCAACCAGCTGCTTAAGACTTGAATTCACAGTTTGATTTATTTAAAATTCTAGCCCTAAAGCTATTTTTTTGGTAAATAAAATTTATAAAAAAAATGCTAGTGGATTTATATAAAATTTTGTAAGTTCATTCTTTTATTATATATATATCTGTCTTATTCGTCAACGTATTTTTCTGTTGGTGTGGGGGGGGGGGCGGGGTTGGGGGCTGGGGGGAATACCTACTTTAATTTAATCTCCCATCAAGGTCAAGTAAGACATTAAAAAAAAAAAAATGGGTCATCTAGAAATAATATTCCTAGGGTAGTTTTGGGTCCTAAATGGAACAACGTAAGACAAGATGAGTTCAAGGCCAACCACAGGCCTGAATGCTGGCCAGTGGGCTGGTTCAACTTACCCAGTTTACTGACTCCAAACTACAGGCCTGAATGCTGGCCAGTGGGCTGGTTCAACTCGTCCATTTTTACTTACTCCAAAGCTGAACTGAAGTTTGGAGAATGTGCATCAGCATTGCGGCTTTCTGTAGGAATTGTTGCGGCTATGGAATATCGAGAAATATGCAGAGGGGTGTGAAAATTTCACAAATCATTCATACAAGTAATGTATAAGAATCCCACTTAGTGCTCCCCCTTTCAAGGCTCGCAAAGGCACATTTTTTTGTTCACGCCCCTTAACAATATTAATATTCTAATGACCAGCCCGATTATTATTTCACCAACTGTTTCAGGAACAAAAAACAACATAAGAAAATATTACGCATCTAATGCACTTGCGATATTTAAAAAAAAGAAAAAAGAAAAAAGAATCTCATTTAGCGAAGTTGTCGTGAATTTCTTTGGTGTGATCATATTTCCTCCATCTTCACCCCTGAAAACCAAAGAAAACTGGATTTTTTTGGGGTTGGGGTTGGCAGAAAATTTGAAAGAATGTGCTGTCATCTGTAATGAGTCTTTGTGCCGACTTTCAGCTCGATACGTTGATGGAAAGTGGGTCAATTAGTCGTCCGAAGATTGCACTGGGTTGCAAGTTGCAAGGCGGAGTATTGCACTCGGTTGCAAGGTGAAGTATTGCACTGGGTTACAAGGTAAATTATAGCAGGCTTAGTAGGCCTACATACTATTGCACGGGTTGGCGTGATTTCTAAGGACTTCATTATATGACTTCATTATATGACTTCATTATATGAATTCATTATATGACTTTACTATATGACTTCATTTTATGACTTCATTATACGATTTCATTATATAACTGACTTCATTATATGTCTTCATTATGTGACCAACTTACTTCCACACTCGATATAAAACACATTCGCCTAGGTCCCCTTCAACACCATGCATACCTATAAATAACCTTATAACCCACCCCCCCCCCCCCCCCCCCC